GAAAGGAAAGGAAAGGAAAGGAAAGGAAAGGAAGAAAGAAAGAAAGAAAGAAAGAAAGAAAGAAAGAAAGAAAGAAAGAAAGAAAGAAAGAAAGGAAGGAAGGAAGGAAGGAAGGAAGGAAGGAAGGAAGGAAGGAAGGAAGGAAGGAAGAAGGAAGGAAGGAAGGAAGGAAGGAAGGAAGGAAGGAAGGAAGGAAGGAAGGTTTCTTCTTGATTCTAATAGGCAATCTAAATGGAAGGTTATTCTTTTAGGCTTCATGAAAATGCCTATTACATTGCATGCTGTTTTTTCCACTCTCTGACTTGGATAAACAAAATATACCTTGTTGCAAAAAGATATAGGGACTTGGGTTTTGTGATCCTGAGAAAGCTCCTAAAATAACCAAAATCATTCTAGAAGGTCAAATATATGATACATCTTACCATCTTTTTTTAAAATAGTTTTACTCTACAGAAACTAGTTCACCAGTTTTTACACAGTCAGTATCCAACATGGGAACATTCTCTGACTCCATAAAGAAAACCTGATGTGTGATGATTACCTGCTCCATATTTTTAGGAAATTATTGCAATAACTGCCAGAGATGGGGGATGAGGGAAGCAATTTCCCAGCACACTGTCACCTTTCCCCAGGGTCTGGGCTGATGTCGTCACTGACTTTGATTTGACAGGCGTCCTCTTCCTGCCTCTGAGCTCACAGGGGCCTCTCTCTCAATTGTGGAGGGAAAAAGAAAAAAACCCACCTCCTTGATAGGGGAGTATTATTCATTTTTTTAATTTTATACTATGGAAATTTTCAACACATGCCACTCTTACTTATTCTACTTCCAAGTTATTTTAAAGCAAATCATTATTGAAAAAATTTCTATAAAACAAATGATAAAAAAGGAAGAATATTACTTCTCTATCAAGGAAGGTCTTTTTTCCTCCACAGTTAAAGGAGAGGTCCTTGTGGGCTTAAAGGCCAGAAGGGGACACCTGCTGAGTTAAAACCAGGTGGTCACCCACTCCCGCTGCCCAACACCTGTGTTGTTTGGGCCCACTGACCATGCCTGTGGACTGTGTACCTGCCTGAAAATGTTCACGGCTGGATCCTGTCTGTGTGTGAGGGACCGAAGCAGTGCACAGTACTACCAGCCTGACCTCACGACACCTGGAATTCCACCAAAGCTGGAGAACTCAAAGCTGAGCTTTTGGGATTCAGAGGCCACACGAACCTCACATTTCTCAGGGGTAAGAAACTTCAAAATACAACTCGCTGGACTCCCATGTAGTCGACCGCAGTTCAAGGCCTGGACGCAGTGGCTTAAACTCATGCCAGGCATGTGTGCGTGCGTGCCCAAGATCCCGAGAGGAGAATGGAAGAGAAGGGATTGCAGTGTGGTTATCCCCCCCGCCCCCGGGGGGTGATTTCTCGCTTTCTGACTCTGTTTCTCTCTCTTTCTGGCGAGCACACACACCCTGTAGCAAAAAAAACTCTCAAAAAAAAAATTACAAACCTTAAATACGTATTTTTGAAAATTAATTGAGTCACACTACCTGCCTGTATGTACCTCACCCAGTGCTAACTGGACGAGAAGGGGCTCCATAGATATTAACTGATACATTGATGTTTACCTGTGGTTTGACTAATGTGTCTTGAAAGCTGCCAAAGTACATATTACCAGCTTCGTGAATGTGATCTGGAAAGTACTTAGTCTTGGGTATCATGTGAGATCGAGTATTTGCAAAGTCTCCCGCCAGCATCATTCTGGGTCATTTTTCTGAGTAAGCTTACTATAATGGCAAATGCAAATTAGACTTTAGGTATAATAAAAGTGGTTTTTTTTTGTTTTTTGTTTTAGTTTTGCCACAGGGCATGTTTACTCACCAGGAAGAAAGGAAAAGTAAGAAATCACCCCCAGTGGAGGATGGCCATGCTGCAATCCCTTCTCCATTCTCTCTGGATTTTGGACACACACACACATGTGTGTGGTGTTTTTTTCCAAGCAGCCAGTTCCAGGACTCGAAGCACACATTTAGAATGTGTTATCCAGCATCTTCATCACCCTGCCACCAGCTGTCCCTGATAGTAATTTTGAAAATGAAAAAACAAAACAAAAAACTTAGGCAATCACATCACATGTACCCAGACCATTGGCAAAGATAAGTGTCCCAGGGAAATTATTTTCATGTTCATTTTAGGAATAAAATATAGTCCTGTATCCCTTCTGCAACCAAAGAAAACCAAGAAGTTCAGCATAGCTTTGAGTTCTTGGTAGATTATCATTCTTTTTTATTTCAGGTAGTTACATAATTCACTGAGGACTGGCTCAAATACACTTTGTTCACTGTCTTGAATGTGTAGCGTTAGTTATTGTTGTGCACACTCAAAATGTGCTCCACTGATGTATTTGGAGATAAATATTAAAGTGTCCCTAACTTTCTTCACACTACGGTACTGTAATATTCTAGATTCTAGCCCATACGTTTGCATGTACTCCTAGGTCCACATTTTGAACTTCTGTAAAGAGCTATTGACCTTCTAATAGAATGTAAGGTTAGTGTAGCATTTCTGACTGGTAACTCATCAACATCTATACAAATTATATACACTTGGGATCAGCCCACACATGGTGGTTGAAGTAGCTAGATCTCACATGGCCAGCTGTGCAATTCGAGTCCCAGACCCAGCTGCTGAAAAAACACACCAGCCATGTATACGTTCTGGCCCAAATCCTGAGAGGAGAATGGAGGAAAAAGGATTGATCATCTCCTCTGAGGAATGCATTCTCAATTTTCCTCTCTCTCTTTCTTTGTCTCTCTCTGGTGAACTCACATGCCCTGTGGCAAATTAAAAAAAAAAAAAGTGGGACCAGCAGATAGCATAGTGGTTATGTCTCTGGACTCACACATGACCAGCAGCGGTTCGAGTCAGACCTAGAGGCTTGAAACTCACGCCGGGAGCATGTGTGTGCATGTCCACAGTCCTGAGAGGAGACTGGAGGAGAAGGGACTGTGGTGTGGCCATTCCCTCTGGGGAGTGATTTCTTGTTTTCTGTCTCTCTGTCTCTGTCTCTGTCTCTCTGGTGAGTGCATGTGCCCTATAGCAAAACTCTCTCAAAAGGAAGGAAGGAAGGAAGGAAGGGAAAGAAAGAAAGAAAGAAAGAGAGAGAGAGAGAGAGAGAGAGAGAGAGAGAGAGAAAGAAAGAAAGAAAGAAAGAAAGAAAGAAAGAAAGAAAGAAAGAAAGAAAGAAAGAAAGAAAGAAAGAAAGAAAGAAAGAAAGAAATCCACACCTGTACCCTGGGGCATAACATTTCCACAGCTAGAGCTTTATTGTTCGGGGACACCTCCACCAACCTGCCCCTGTTTCAGCTCCACATGGATGACGACCGCGTTAGAGTGACTCACCTCTGCAAAGCACTTGCCAAAGGCTTCACATCTGAATTGTGCTCATGTTAGCATTGTTTAAAGTCACAAAGTCTGAGAAGGTTCTTAAAATCTATTAACTAATGGATCAGTGGTCCTAAAATTATGATCCTTCCAAACAGTGAGATGACATAGCAGCTATTTAAAGAGAATAAGACAAATATGTATGTGCTTCGATGGGAAAATGTCAGGATAGTGAAAAAACCCACATCCTACGACAGTATGTAAGTGTGCTTTCTTTAGTATCCAGCACGAAAGAGCACATGTATACATAAAGAAGCATGCTTCAGTAGGCTTAGGAACCTTCTGGAAAGACACAGAAAACCCTTGTCAGTGGCAAACTTTGGAAAATGAAGGTGGAAGTTTGTAGATGGGATACAGTATGCACTTGGCCCTTTGCCTGCGTTGGTAGTGTTTAATTTTACCACATGCATATATATTACTTTTATTATTAAAAAAATAAAAACAGTTGTTGCAGGCTTCTTCATTCTGTTGCCAGTCAACATTCTACAGAGATACCAACTGCAGAATCCTAAACTTAGAGACTTCTCCATTAAATGGCAGTGATGGGAGATGCCTGGAAATGACGCTTTTGTGCCCAGTGTCTACAGCAAGTCCCAGAAAGCTGGGACTTTTCCAGAGCTCGCATCCCAAAAAACGTTCACTGTAGCAAATGTGTCTGATTGGTTGAAGCGTGCTGCTTACGAAGACATGGGGAAAAGCCGTACTGGTTGAGAAGAATGGAGGGTAGGAGCCTCACTGTCTCTGACAGAGATCTTGCCGTCTCACGGCGTGTGGTGCAAATTCCCTCACAGACCACTGAGCTTCCTCAGTTCCACTCAGCTACTCACAGCTTCCCAGAATGCACCACTCTTTCTTGCACCTTCAAATAAACTGCTCTCTTCCAGAAACTTCCCAAGTGCCCTGGCTCCTCCATCCCTTTGAGTTCCCTGCACTCCGCGTACTCGCCTTCCCTGCCTCACTCAGGCAGCACACAGGTGGACTGGTCAGGCTGTCTTGTTCTCCTCAAGGCTGGAAGCTTGCTGAAGTGTGGGTTCTAGTCTTGTGCTTGCTGTGTCCCTCACACCCACGATAGTGTCTGCAGCAATTGAGTAAAGAGGCATCGGGTAAAGGCCCAACGACGGGACGAAAGAGCAGTCACCAGCCTGCATGATGGGGCAATGCCCACTCCATCGCAGCTTGCTTCTAATGCCTTTACAAAGTAGGCCACGTGTTTCTTATGAAATTAGCCAGTTTGAAGGTAAAATATAACCCCTATACATTCTTATCAACATTTCAGATAATCTAATATAGCAGAAAGTTTCAGGAGCTGTTGCTACGTGCACACACAAAAAAATACTGAACTGGTATTGTACGAAAACATTTTGTATTTAGAATTTGATCACATTTTCTATTCAGTGCTACTCTCATTCCTGCCTTTAAGTTTCAGTTATTTGGTGGATATTCATTGTTCTGATCTTTCTGGCTTTTTGTTTTTTTTAGTTTTGCTAAATAGAGTGTGTGCTCACTGGAGAGAGAGAGAGAGGGAAAGTGAGAAACCCCTTCTCCTCCGTTCTCCTCTCGGGATTCTCAGCACACACACACACACGCACACACGCATACATGCCTGGTGTGTTTTTTAAACTCCCACATCCAGAATTTGAACTGTGTGGTCGGCCACGTGGGACCCAGCTGCCTTAACATCCATGCCACCCGGCAGCCCAGCTGATCTATCTTTTAATTTGCCCATTAAAGTCTCTTCTTAGCTCTTTTCATTTTTGATATTATTTTAATTTTTTAATTAAAGGTTTAACTTAATTTTATCAAAGGACCAAGCATAAGGGAAGTGATTACCGAGAGCATGTCGTAGTCCCTTTCACATTTAAAGCCCTGAATCCTACTTCCTGTATTTGGAAACTAGCAGACTCGTCTCACCTCCCTGTTCAGGCATGCTGCTCGCTGGGTTCCTCCTCAGAAACGTCCCGGTCGTCAGTGACAACGTGCAGATCCAGCACCGGTGGTCGGCCGCCCTCAGAAGCATCGCCTTGTCTATCATATTGACTCGTGCTGGCCTCGGCCTGGATGCAAAGGTACGAAGTGCAACTCTAATTGTAGGAGAGGCATCTTGTTCCTCCGAAACTTGGAGTATTTAGAGTCCCTGGAGTTTAAGAGATGCTTGAGGATACTTCACATGACCTTCTCCAGAAGAGAATGGAATTTATTTCATATGGGACCATTTTGCAAGTAGGACCTTGTGCTTCACAAGAACCTGAATGATGTTACCATATTCTTTCTTGGAAAAAGGTGGAGTTATTGTCTGTGGGGACACACTAAGAATAAAGGCTCCACATTTCTCTGACAAAGAGGAGGCCATAGTGAGAAATAATGGTTGTGGGAGAGAAAAGCAATATATTTGTTATAGCAAAGCACTGTGCATGTGTTTAGAGCTAACTGTACTGGCTTGGCATGAGTCTCAGGTATGCTTTTTAAAATCTTTTGTTTGGCATCAGCAGGTGGCATGGTGGCTAAGGTGCTGGACTTCCACATGATTAACCATGGTTGAAGTCCCAGACCTGACAGTTTACTTTCTCTCTCTTTCTCCCTCTCTCTCTGTCTCTCTGGTGAGGGTACATGCCCTATAGTAAATTTTTAAAAGAATAATAAAATTAAATCATTATTTCTTATCTTTTTTAAAATAATTATTTTATTTACTTTTATTTATTGTCATTATATTATTATTTTTGTTTTTTGAAGTTGACCACAGAGAGACAGAGAGATAGAGAAGGAAAGTGAGAAAGAAAGTCACCAGGTCCGGGACTCAAAGTTCTTTTAGCCATGTGGGAGTCCAGCTGCCTTAACCACTATGCCACCTGTTGGCCCCTTAAAAATATTTTGTATGTACGTTTTCAAATGTAGAAATGAATATTCTTGGAGTATGAGGCTCTGCATTTTAGACTTATTCTGGGGGTACAAGTTAAATAAAACAGACTCTGGAAGCAGCTTCACGGGTTCAAACCTGGTCCCACCACTCATCCAGTTTCATGATCTTGGGTGTATGTCCTAAACATGTGTCCTTTTAGATGAGGGTGCCTAAGAAATGGGGATAATGAGAATATATCTCAGAGGCTTTCTATGAGGACTGCCTGTCTCCAAAACAGAATACTGAAATGTTTTTTATATATAACTCATTATCTGGGAAATTCATAAAGACACAGACATGGTCTGAACTGCAGAGCAAGCTTTGAAGGTCATCTTTTCTGCTTGTCTCCAGAGGGCTTTATTGGCCACGTCTGTCTTTGTATTTCAGGCCCTGAAGAAGTTGAGAGGAGTTTGCGTGAGACTGTCCATGGGTCCCTGTCTTGTGGAGGCATGCGCGTCTGCTCTTCTTGCACACTTCCTGATGGGTTTACCGTGGCAGTGGGGATTTATCCTGGGGTAATGAGGTTTGCTTTATCATGTAAAAACACGCAGAGGTGCTTAGGACCTTCTGTGATTCCATACAAGAGAATGGATCATAGCATTTTCTTAAGGACATCGGAAACGCACAACATAGATATCCTAGCATCATCTAAATATTCTAACTTCGAAATACAGTCTGTGTGTTTGTAGGCACTAACTTCCATGGTGATTATAAGGATTCAAACCAAAATTGAAGAGATCGTGGTCCCACGCCCGAGAGCCGAGCTCCTCTCCAGTCGGCACAAACAAGAACGCACACGGTCAATCCGGCTGTGGTTTCCCTCATCACTGGATGGTGCGCTTTGGTGGTTCCGTCTCCTTCCACCATCAGTTTTTCACTCCCAGTAGTTAGGAGTCATAACCACTACTAAATACGTAGGTATGTAGTAAGACCGTCGTTAATAAGCAGGCAAGAAGTAAGAAATTCCTCGTGACTAGGATCTGGAGCTCTGCTACGGGGATTCAGACCCCAGCTCTGTGGTTTTCCAGTGTGTGACTTTTGACACATTACTCAACCCCTCTGTGCCTCAGTTTCCTCATTTGCAACATGAAGGTAGATTATATACATTTCATAAGGTTTTTTGCAAGGATTAAATTGCAGCAGCCCACCCCCTTATCAGAAGGGCATATATTTCAAGATCTCAGGGGAATACATAAAACCACATAGTATCAAACCTTGTATATGCTATGTTCTTTTTTTTTTTTAATTTCATGACATGTATCATTTATTTATTTGTTTAAGAATTATTTATTTATTTATTTTTCTCATGAGTTTTGCCAGAGAAATAGAGAGAGAGAGAGAGAGAGAGAGAGAGAGAGCAAGCTGCCAGGTTTGGGACCTGAACCACAGTCAGCCATGTGGGAATTCTAACACCTTACCCACCACGCCACCTGCCGGCCCCAACATGTATCATTTAATCCCAAGTTGTAAAGTATTTTGAATAACAGTAATATGAAATATTTTTAAATAGTTTGAACATGTGCTTTTTTAAAAATGTTTTAGTAAAATTCTTGGATGTTTGCACTGTCTCAGCATGGCAACTACACAGCATGGCGAACCCCAGATCAAGATATGAAACTTTGTATTTACCTTGTGTTGAGGGAATATTAATGAGGTCAAAAAGAAATGAGGACGTCAGATCTTGGTGATATAGCATTAAGTGCTAAACTGGCCTGCCAAGATCGCGAAGCCATGGTGCTCACAGCGCTGTGCGTCTCCCTGACTCCCGCCTCCATGGCGCTCACAGCGCTGTCGTCTCCCTGACTCCCGCTTCCTCCCGCACAGCAAACATTTTATCTGCCTGTGCGTTCTCGTCTCTGGCCTCTGAAAATGACAGCTGTAATTTCCCCTTAAATATATCTCCTCAGTCAGTAACTACGTTCTCTAGACCCTTACGCCCTTATTCATGTGACCACTGCTCGCACTTCACAGTGGGACCGTTGTCAGCTCAATAGTCCAGGCATGGCCGCACACTCCCAAGGCTAAGTCACATTACTGAACACTTTTCTCCTCGAACTTGGTTTTTCTTTCTTTTTCTTTTCTTTTTTCATTCTTCTTCCTTTTTTTCTTTCTTTTCTAAATTTAATCATTGTATATCTTTTTTTTTATTTGGCGGGGGAGGGAGAGGTTTTTGCTATAGTGCGCATGCACTCACCAAAAAGACAGAGACTGAGAGACAGAAAGCAAGAAATCACCCCCCGGGGGGGGGATGACCACACCACAATCCCTTCTTCTCCATTCTCCTCTCAGGATCTTGGGCACACATGTGCACGCGCCCAGCATGAGTTTAAGCCACCGGGTCTAGGACTTGAACCACAGTTGACTACGTGGGAGTCCAGCGACATAGCCATTACACCAACTGCTGGTCCCAGATCACTGTATATCTTTACCATGTACAACATGGTTTTCCCAACATGAATACAGTGCGTATTAATGAAGCAGAACATTACCACATACGTTATCATCAATAGATAACTTCCCATACTCGTGTCTCTTAAATATTTTGTTTGTTCCTTGATTCCCCTCCCTCACAGCCCTATTACCCACCTGCTTCTATACTGCCTCTAGTATCTGTGGTTGCCCTCCCTGCTAATATACCTCCTAGCCTTTTAGTTCCTGCTGTAAAGTGTATATATACATATATACCATATATGTCATTTGTTTTGAGACAGAGAGTTTTGTTTTGTTTTGTTTTTGCTCTAGGGCATATGCACTCACCAGAGAGAGACAGAAAGAAAGAAAGAAAGTGAGAAATCACCCCCAGGAGGATGACCAAGCCACAATCCCTTCTCCATTTTCGTCTCAAGGATTTGGGCACACACATACACATGCCTGGCATGAGTTTGAAGCCTCCCGGTCCAGGACTAGAACCATGGTCAGCCATGTGGGAGCCCATCGCCTTAACCACTATGCCACCTACTGGCCCCTCAGAATATATTAAGTGGGAACATAAAATGCCTGTCTTCCTCAGTCTGGCTTGCTCCCCTTAGTATTAAATCTTCCGTATTCGTGTACTTCCTATCAAATGTCAGGGTCTCATTGGTTTTTTTATGGCTGAGTAGTATTCCATAGAGTACATGTGCCGTGTTTTTTCAATCCAGTCATCTGTCTTGGACATTTGGGTTGATTCCGTGTCCTAGCAACTGTGAATGTGGATATATGAGTATTTTTCTACCTGAGGGTTTTTCTATCTTTTGGGTAGGTAACTACGGGTGGAATTACAGGGCTGTGTGGCCGTTCTATGTGTAGGTGTCTGAGGAACCTCATATTGTTCTCCACAGTGTTTGTACTAATTTACATCTCCACAAACAGTGTAGCAGGGTGCCCTTTTCACTGCAGCCTTGCCAGCACTTGTCATTATTTATATTTTGAATCTTAGCTATTCTGGTGTTGAGTGGTATCTCATTCTGGTTCTGATCTGCAGTTATCCAAGGTCTAACCTGTAAGAGGATAGATGTTATTTCAAGAAAATAGTAATAATGAATATGACACTATTGTGAATGTTTAAAGTGCTTCCTACTTAGTTTTGTTTTAGGGGCTGTGTCCCCAGCAGTTGTGGTGCCTTCGATGCTCCTTCTACAGGAAGGAGGCTATGGTGTTGAAAAGGGGGTCCCAACCTTACTCATGGCTGCTGGCAGTTTCGATGACATTCTGGCCATCACTGGCTTCAACACTTGCTTGGGAATGGCCTTTTCTACAGGTAAACCAATCCGTTTACAGCGTGCTGATTTCTTGCACTCTAGAGACATGGGTTAAGGTTTATAAACATGGTATATTGGCTTGATAGTTGATAAACGCAAATTAGTTTTTCATTGTTTTCTGTTTTATTTATTTATTTTTTTGAGAGGTTTTTGCCTTGGGGTGCATGCACTTGCCAGAGAGAGAGACAGACACTATGAGAGAAAAAATGAGAAATCATGCTCAGAGGTGATGGCCACGCCACAATCTCTTCTCCGTTCTCCTCCCAGGATCTTGGGCACACACGCACACATGCCCAACATTGGGTTTCAAGCCACCGGGCCCGGGACACAGATTGTAGTGATAAAACCACTGCTCCATCTACTGGTCCCAAGGCAAGTTTAAAATAGGGGCCATGTCCAAATTTCTGTACGTAAAGAGAAACCAAAAGCTACCTCCTTCCTCCCTGTAAATAAAGACTATGGAAGTAGCACACAGAAAGTGCAGTGAGGGAAGTAAGGCAATAAGGTTGAAAGCAGGAGGAGGGCAACTTCTGCTCAGAGTGACTGGGGCAGGCTAAATCCTGGAGACTTTACCTGCAGGGTGCGTAAGTTTCTCAGTGAGCACAATGGCAGCAGCAGTCCAAGTGGAGGAAACAGCATGCTTCTAAAGGAGGAACAATTTCTCTTCTCTCATCTTCAATATCTTATATCACCCAATCCTCCCAGGATCTTGGGCACACACGCACACATGCCCAACATTGGGTTTCAAGCCACCGGGCCCGGGACACAGATTGTAGTGATAAAACCACTGCTCCATCTACTGGTCCCAAGGCAAGTTTAAAATAGGGGCCATGTCCAAATTTCTGTACGTAAAGAGAAACCAAAAGCTACCTCCTTCCTCCCTGTAAATAAAGACTATGGAAGTAGCACACAGAAAGTGCAGTGAGGGAAGTAAGGCAATAAGGTTGAAAGCAGGAGGAGGGCAACTTCTGCTCAGAGTGACTGGGGCAGGCTAAATCCTGGAGACTTTACCTGCAGGGTGCGTAAGTTTCTCAGTGAGCACAATGGCAGCAGCAGTCCAAGTGGAGGAAACAGCATGCTTCTAAAGGAGGAACAATTTCTCTTCTCTCATCTTCAATATCTTATATCACCCAATATCAGCAATGATTCAATGGACGCCTTATTAGTGCTTGCTAAGTGTCTTGTTTCAGAGGAACTTAGGCATTTTTTTATCCTACTACTATTCACCACCTTTTTAAACTGAACAGGTTCTATGAGTGACCATAACCAAAAGACTGAGAAGTTCAACACCTTTAATATCCTTTTTGCACAGCCTAGGTTTAAGTTCATTTCTTAGTCTGATGTCCAAATTTGGGAAGTAAAATTTGCAACTGGAGATTATTGATGAAGTATATTTGTGGCCTCCATCTAGCTTCAGGGGCTTTAGTGGGAACACACTGTCCTGGAAAGTTCTGTTTTCTCCTTGTCTCCAGCCCCTGTGGCTATCTCCCCATTTTATGATTCCCATTATGTGTGACCCATGCTGATTACCTGGAACCTCGCTCTTCCCATTGCCCTTCTATCCAGTCCCTGGTAAATTAACCTTCTCAAAGCATAATGTTTTCATAATGCTCTTTCTTGTTCAAAAACCAGTGAAGATTCCCTAGGACCTATCGGGTCAGGTCTACACTCTTGGATTTATTTTGACTTTACTGAGCCTTTCCGGAGTTAGGTTCTCGCCGCCTTCCTGGTATACCCATTCAAAATGATGTTTCTCAACCTTGGCTACACACAAGAATTATCTGGGGAGCTTTTTAAATACTCTTACATAGGCCCTCCCTGAGACCAGTTAAATCAGAACCTTCTGGATGCAAACCAACACAGCCAGGACGAGGAATCACAGCTGCAAAGCAGCAGTTTGCATTAGGATCACAGTGGGGAGGGGGAATCGGGGAGAAATGTCCAGACTGGGTTTTTCATATCTAGAGGATGGAAAATACCTTGAAGAACCTTCTCCGTGTCTTCTGCCCACTTCCCTAAGGAGGGTGATCCTAGTGGTTAAGGGAGCTGGACCGCACATGGCTGACCGAGGTTCCAGTATGGCCCTCAGGTCTTGAAGAACATGCTGGGCACATGTGTGTGCATGCCAGAGATCCCAACAAGATGAAGTCATGGAGGGAAGGGGGTGCAGCATGGCTACCCCCTATCGGGGCTCTCTCTCTCCCTCTTCCCAGCAAGTGTACACACCCTCTGGCAAAATTTAAAAAAAAAAAAATTTGAGAAGGACTACCAGTCATTGCAGTATGAAGATTCTTGATTTTAATGGCCAGATTTTTAAGTTACTATATGATACTATATATATACGTATATATATATGTGTGTGTGTGTGTATCAGAACTATTAAAATCAATGTACATTATTTAAAAATCAGGATCCTGGAGCCAGCAGGTGCCATGGTGGTTAAGGTGCTGGACTCCCAGACGGTCGATCATGGTTTGAGTAACAAACCTGGTGCCTTCTCATTTTCTCTGTCTCTCTCTCTCTCTCTTTGTCTCTAGTGAGCACATGTGCCCTATAGCAAATTTTAAAATAATAATAATTATTACAATAAATAAAGTTAAATAAATAATTTTTTTTTAATTTTTGAAGGTTTTTTTTTTTTTTTTGAGAAGTTTTTGCTATAGGGTGCATGTGCTCACCAGAAAAACTGAGACAGAAAGCGAAAAATCACTCTTCAGTGGGGATGGCCATGCCACAGTCCCTTCTCCTCCATTCTCCTTTCAGGATCTTGGGCACTCATACACATGCGCCCATTATGAGTTTAAACCATCAGGTCCAGGACTCAAACTATGGTCGACTACATGGGAGTCCAGCGACATAGCCATTACACCAACTGCTGGTCCCAATAAATAATTCTTTTTAAAAAATCAGGCTCTTCTAAAGCCAAACATGTGTTCATAGATATGTATATATCAGCTATGTTTGCTACTGAAAGTATTTAAATTAATTAATGTTTTTAGCGAATCAGTAAAATGAAAAAAATAAATAAAAGGCATGGAAAGCAACTGTAAATACCAGAGACAGTGTAGGAGGAGGGTGGGAAATGGCAGAAGAGAGGTAGGGAATTAATAGGGAAAAATAAAAGGAAAAAAGAAAAATATATACGGTACAGAAAATTATTTGTTGATGTTGGTAATGTATGCTAATATCCTTCACTGAGCCAATATCACACTGAATTCTGGGTGGAAAATCTCATTTTGTGTACTGTAATGATGTACAGTGAATTAATGTAAATAAATAAATTCAAAATAAAAACATTAGGGGCCGGCAGGTGGTGTGGTGGTTGAGGGTGCTCTACTCCCATTTAGCTGACCACAGTTCAAGTCCTGGACCTGGCAGCTTGCTCTATCACTTTCTCTCTCTCTTTTTCTCTCTGTCCTTCTCTGGTCAAATTTAAATACATAAATAAATAAAGTTAAATAAAATTTTTTTAAATAGATAATGGGGGAACCAGCAGTTAGCATAATGGCTATGTCACTGGACTCCCACATAGTCGACCGCGGTTCACATCCTGGACCCGGTGGCTTAAAACTCACGCTGGGTGTGTGTGCATGCATGCCCAAGATCCCGAGAGGAGAATGGAGGATAAGGGATTGCGGCGTGACCATCCCCCCTGGGGGAGTGATTTCTCGCTTTCTGTCTCTAATGTCTCTCTCTGCCTGTCTGGCGAACGCACGCACCCTATAGCAAAAATCTCTCCAAAAAAAGAGAAAAAAAATAGATAATGGTACAACAACAAAAATTGGTTCATAAACCTCGCCAAAAAAAAAAAAAAATCAGGTTCATAAGTATAATTTGAAAACTTAACAAGATCTATCAGCTCCTCTACTCTATATATACGAGGGACTTAAAACAGTTCACGGAAAAATGGAATTAAAGTACAAGTTTATTTTTGTGCGAAAAGAAATTTGAAACTCATGCATCATGTTCTCATGGTCTGTATTTACTAGCCCTTATATAATACAGTAGAATGAATTCACTCTGAATCATTAATTCTGTCTTTCCTATTTTCTTAGGCCTTTTAAGTAAACTGTCACCAAAATAAATGTACAAAAACAGTACATAAAGCATGCCTTGTGCTTGTTTTGAAATTCGTCTCCAATAATATACGTACTTTTCCTATAAGATAGCCCCAAAGTTTACTGTTTATTTAAAGTCACATATATATGAACTCGTGGAGAACAGGAGCTATCTGTGAAATTAGATACTCCGTGTTGGCCGTAGAGTGAAACTCGTTTATTGGTGAATGTACCGTTCTGTCTGAGGTTATTCTTTCTATGTGTTTTCCAGGCTCTACCGTCTTTAATGTCCTCAGAGGCATTTTGGAGGTGGTCATCGGTGTGGCAGCAGGATCTCTTCTTGGTTTTTTTATTCAGTACTTTCCAAGCAGTGACCAGGTGAGAGAAATGATCAACAGGAAAATATCACTGGAAAACATCCTGGATTCCAGTACTACCAACTAGATAAGACTTTGAACATCTCATTACGACACACTGCCGCGTTTCTCGCCACGGAGATCAAAGTTCTTCACTATGTACGCAAGGGCTTCTTAATGAGAAACGAAGGTTAAATTTGTTCTCCACCCACCAGGTCTCTTAGGGTAGCTAAAATAGAAATTCACTCTTTCTGCACAGTTGGCATTATTTTGAGATTTCAGAGCATTTTGAATAGAATTAGAAACTTTACTAAAGAAGAGCTTTCGTTAAGAAAATTAGTATTTCCACCATCAGAGCGTATGTTGGTTCGAATTCTTAACTGTTCAAAAAAGCTTCAAATCATCTGTAGAAGAGTTTATGAAGGCATAAAATAAAATTATAGGATTAAATAAATAAGCTTTAAGAAAGAAATTATGGGGCCAACTAGTGCCATGGTGGCTAAGGCAGTTGAATCTCACATAATAGAATGTGCAGTTTGAGCCCTGAACCTGGTGACTTCACAGACACACTGGGTACATGTGTATGCGTGCCCAAAATCCCAAAAGGAGAATGGAGGAGAAGGGATTGAGGCATAGCCATTCTGCTGGAGGGGTGCTTTCTTATTTTCTCTCCCTCTTTCTCTCTCTCTCTCTCTCTCTCTCTCTCTCTCTGTGTGTGTGTGTGTGTGTGTGTGTGTGTGTGTGTGTCCGGCAGCTCACCTGCCCTGCCCTACAGCAAATAAAATCATTTAAAAAATAAAAAGACATCATAGGATTATTCTAATCACACAACAAAATAAAGAGAAGGATAGCTTGCGTTTTGTTTCTTATTGTGTATAAAGTCATGTGGGAGGACTTTGAAGTTATCGTCTGCTGCCAGTCTGTCCAGTGTGAGTCGCAGGTAGAGAACAAAATGGTTCTGTTGGAAATGCTGAGCAGGGAAAAAGAACAACCACAACATTGACTTCCAGTCTGTAGCCTCTTAGAGCTTCTTGGTAATTAAGAATTTAGAAAGAGGGACCAGCAGGTGGCATGGTGGTTAAGGCACTGGCCACTCCTATATGGCCGACCATGATTTGAGTCCTGGACCTGGTGGTTTGCTTTCTCACTTTCTCTCTCTCTCTCTCTCTCTGTGTGTGTGTGTGTGTGTGTGTGTGTGTGTGTGTGTGTGCCTGTGTGTGTATGTATCTCTCGGGTCAGATTAAAAGAAGTGAATAAATGAATAAAATTAAATAAGTAATTTTTTTTTTTTAAATTTAGAAAGTAAATCCAAGGGAGCATGAAATTAAAGAGTAAACAGGCTTCAGCATGGTGGCACAGGCAGGAAGGCATGGCAACCTGATACCGAAGCCGCAGGGAGGCCCAGGTTCCAATCCTCGGTCGCCTGAATGCCAGGCAGGCCCTCGGCTCCTGAGATCTTCACTGGCCAGAAGGGTTGAGGAAGACCACAGCGCAGTAAGGTTCTGTAGGGTACCTGTCTTTATCTCTCTCTCATGAAAGAGATTGATAAAGTAAGCTTAAAAAGTAAACAGAGTTAGAAGAAAGCCTGAAAGTGGTAGAGATATGACGTTTTTCCTTTTTTTATTTTTTTTTCCTGCACTCACCAGAAAGAGAAATTACTCCCAAGTAGGACATGGTCATGCCATAATCCTTTCTCCTCCAGGCCGTAAGAATTTGGAGCACACACATGCACATACATACACACACTCTCAGCATGTATTTCCAGTTGTTGGGGCTGGGATTCAAACTGTGGCGAGCCACATGGGATCTGGCTCCTGGTGCACTGCTCAACTCCTGTGCTCTGAGGCTAGCCGGAGATGGACCTTTGCAAAATCTCTACGATGCAAATGCTTTCAGGGACCAGGAAATGCAGCTTAGAGGGGTAAAGTAATGCGAGCAGGCACAGGTCAGCCACGTAGAAGAGCTGGAGTTGGGCTTTGGCCTGTCTGGCTCCAAAGCCCATGCGCTTTTACCTGCTGCTCCTTAAAACCCTGTGAAATGCTGTATTGGGAACTGCAGAGGAGAGCCTGTCTGAACATGTGCTAATTCTGCTTTGGTTAAGGAAAAGAAAGCAGACGGTATGTCATGCTTTCACAGGCTCAGAGACACACGTTTTCATTTTATTCTCAATCATGGACAAATCAACCACTAAACATCCTTTTCTTTTTTAAAGAGAGATTTCTTTTTTTGCTATAGGGTGTTTGCACTTGCTGGAGAGACAGAGACAGAAAGCGAAGTAACTCCCTAGGAGGATAACCAGGCTGCAATTCCTTCACCTCCATTCCCCTCTTGGGATCTTGGGCATGTGCACACGTGCCCAGAATGCGTTTTAGGCCACCGGGTCCAGGACCCAAATCACAGCCGACTGCATGGGAGTCCAGTGATGTAACCATTTCGCCATCTGCTGGTCCCAATCACTATTTGAATAATCAAGGTAATCGACTTTTTTCTTCTACAGAGCAACCTCTTGTGGAAGAGAACATTC